AACCACACCAGGAGCAAACAACACACGTCTGGAATAAGGTAAGCCATTTTTATTGAGAATTTTCACTTTTAACTACCTCCATGGATATCTTGTGGAAAATCTCATATAATCCCTTATAATTCGATGCCATATTGTGTTGCTTGTGTGGTTCGTAGAGAGAGCTTGGGCTGCGTGTGGAATTAGCAACTTCTTTTGACGCATTTTTTGTTCGGAGACAATGGGAAAAGGTGTGTTTTTCAGGGTTGAAAACAGAACTTCAAATTTCGCGCTGTGAAATGAGTAAGATCTGCTCGCGCTAGTTGTACGCGTAAGCTTTTGACTAAGAATAAAGTTTATGCAAGAAAACTCTCTACTCTACTCTGGTATCGAGTTATTTCTCAGAACAATGTTTAACCATGGCCAAAATCTGTTTCGATAGTTTCTTATTGTTTCTGCTCGTTTGGCGAGTTTGCAGAAGCTTTTGAAAGGAAAATAAATCTGACGCGTACAAGTAGCAAATTTGCATAGCCAGCGCGTGCACTTTCAAGTCCGAGTCGGTGTTTTCAAGTAAATTGTCAATATAAAATATTGACAAAGATTATTTTCGTCATCTTTTGTGCTGAGATGCTGCAACAATTATCGCCAACGCTATAAAGCTACTAGCATCATGTGTGTTTCTTCAACATAGTGAAATTATATACTGCGAAAATGACTTATGAATCCTTATTCGGGTTGATCAATGAAAGCGCTACCGTAACTGTGCTGCTTGTTTCTGTTATCTTCCCATATTTTAAGCGAAACTTTTAATGTGTTCTCAAACATTCATCAGTCTTAAACATATTTCAAACCAGAGATATTGTTTGAGCGCGATGTAGGTTTTTTACACGAAAGAGTGGAATTGAAGTCCAATTTGTCATGTTTATAGCTACAAAACACGCGTCGGCGGGCGCTCTTTTTCTGTCTTTTTCATCGACAACCAGCGATTATTGGATTTTCACACAAACAAAACTGAGCAGTATTTACAGACGAAAATTTTTGTTCCTTGATGAAACGTCGCGTGTTGCTTGCAATTCAGGCGAAACTCAAACTCAAAATTTTATTACTTTTCGGTCTCTATGGCAAAATCCAAGCAAGCGTGTGGCAAGAGTAGGGAAACTTTGAAGTTCTGAAACGCTGCTATATCCAAATATATCCAGCTGGATTTTTTACTATGTTATGTAAAAGCTATCGATCTTCGACATATGTAAAACTTAGAGTGGAGTAATGTGGAGTACTCGTAAAAGAAGAAGCGAATCACGGCTTCGTCGTGATAAGCAGGACATACCTGCATTCGACACTGTCTTACTTCACTCAAATTTGGGCAGCCTACGACGAAACGCCTTAAGCATCATTACAACAGACAGAAACGTATTGACTTTTGGGTCTGAAACATCAAAAAGGCTTTTGAAAATACACCATTGGTGGCTCAAAAATAAAGAAAGAAAAGTTGATTTCCGGTTCGTCGAGAGGAAATTTTTGGCAGCCATTAATCTCACCGGAAGCGCGGAAGGAGCGCTCGTGCCAGTCCTTCTCCGCATCACACATTGGACCAAGAGCGGACTACCCGTTTCACCGCCCGACCTTTTTCCGCCCTGACCCCAATACTAGAAATGGCGCCCGCTTACGGTCTCTATGATATGGGACAATTTTTCTATTTTTGGAACAAATTGCGCCATCCTGACGTCATATATCCGCGCGGA